GACCCGGTCTCTGCTGCTGCTGCTGCTGCCTGTTGGTTTCCATGTGTGTCTCTTGTGGTTGGTGGTGCTGCTGCGCTGCTGCGGCTGCTCCTCCTGCCCCGCCTGGGCCGCCAGTGCTTCTTGGGCTGCTGCTGTCTGAGGTCGATGAAGAAGGATCCGACCCAGCTTCATCGGGCCCAGCTGGTCGAGGAGTAGCTGCTGCAATGGTTTCCGCTGCGGCTCGGCCGGCCGCCTTGGCAAGCTCCTCCAGGGTGGTCGAGTCCGGCAACACAGGCGCCCGTGAGGTGTACAAGGCCCTCTTGCGCCTTGTGCTGCCACCATGGTCCCATGGGAGCCCCTTCGCGGTGACGATTTGTTCAGCCACCCATTGGCCTTCTTCCGGTAGCCGACGAAGGGATCGCGTCTCGAAGGCGCCGGTGTCACTCAAAAGAATGTGGCTGCCATTCTTCTCATTGATCCCGGCCCACACTCCTTTCCTCCATTGCAAGTCTCCCTTGTACTTGGTGGGGCAAAACCCAACACAGCACTCACCAAACTGCACAAGCTGTCCGCGGTAACGCCGGCCATGGACCACCTCGTATGGAGGAAGGCCCTTGCATGTGGTGAAGAAGCGGTTGTGCAGGAAGGCCGCGGGGCCCATTATCCAGCTAAAGAGAGGCATCTGGCCGCTCAGCTTAATCTTCGCTCGGTCCTCCACATGGGCCTTCAAAGTAAGCGCCAGCCTCCTCACTGTGCTCACCGCCGTCTCTGCAACACCATTCGAAGCATGAGAGGCCCGAGGGACAAAGCGAGGCTCTGTTCGGAGGCCCAGCCTCACCCTGCACGCCTGCACTGCGTGCACCACTTGTTTGGCTGCGGGCTCGGCGTCGGACTGGAGCACCACATCTTCAGCACCTGCAATCTGCATTGTTGTTCTGACCAATGTTTCCGCAACTCTCTTCAGAGTCGTGCTGCCCTTGGCCAACACAGGCACCACCGTTATCCACCCAGAGGTGGACTCTCCAGCCACCAAGTTCAGCCCAAACTGGTCGCGGTAGTCGGGCTTCTCGGCCTCGGCTGCTTGCTCCTCTTTGCTGGCTGGCTCGGTCTCCTCTGCTTCTTCTCCACCTCCAGGCTGCTGCTCTTCTTCCCCGCGCTCTTTGGTGAAGGTGTAAAAGTAGTCTATCTGGAAGACAGGTCGGCGCTCTGCCTCCTTCACCTCCGGGCTTTCCTTGGGTGGCGGCTTGTCCTTGTGAGGGCTCTGGCGGCTGCGCCCAAGGACACAAGCCGGGCACCAAGCTGCAAACGGCTGGTGCGTCACTGCACGCAGTGCTTGCTGCCTCGCGCTCGGAAGCACAGGTGCCACCGGGATGTCCGGACTGCGCTCCGCCTCGTCGAACATCTTCTTTGCAACCTCGGTGGCCAGCTGCTTTGCAAGAAGCTCCTTCTGGGTGCGCAGGCGTCGGAGCACTTTTGCTTTGGAGCCGCTGGTTGCCACACCCAATCTGCGACACAACTCCTTGAGCACATGGAGAGGGGTCTCAAGGGACAGCTCCACATCATCAATCATAATGTCATGCTCGTCCTCCTCCGGCCCTTGGCCTGCAACGTCCCTTTCGGCCCAAACTCCGCGCCCATCGTCCTCATCCTGCTGCTGGTCTGCTGGGGCTACCATCGGCTCGTCGGCGGGCGGCTCCTTGAACAAAGCGCCCGGGTTGCTAAGCAAATTCTCCCCGAGCTCCTCCACATGGAAGAGCACCGCCACGTCGTGGGCGTCAACAAGCTCGGGCTCAATCTCGGCCAGAGTTTTCCCGCCACTCGGGAAAAGCAGCGTGTGCCCCGACATGACATGTAGCCAAACGTCACCTGGCTGGGGCTTCCGGCTCGCCGGTTCCTTCCTCACGAAAATTGCCATGTGTGACCAATCGTCGGCCTCCCAAAGAGAGGTCTCCAGGCTGACGTTCTTGGTGTTGTGGATAGTCAGGAGAGGAAGCCCTGATGGCAGGATTGCCCAGCCGGGCTGCTGCACTGCATCTTCAGCCTCAGGGGGAAGAGCCCCGGCGTCACAAGCCAGGATCGTCGACACCACCGCCGTGAGCATGAGGGTGTTGCGCTTCAGCCAAATAGGCACCTGATTTCCGCCACGGGCAATGGTAGGACCCTCTGGCCCGTGCCCGAGAACCCAGCCACTGCGAAGGAGACGGCCCAGGGAGAGGATCACCGAGTTCACGGCCGCAATCGCAAACTTCTCCCGGATCACCACCTCATTGCCGCCATTGTCCCGGGTCGTACTGGTGAGCGCCCGGGTGCAGTCAACGATCTGCTTTCCTTGGGCATCCTGCATCTGTACCCCGGACGGCGGCTGTGGCGTGCCATGCCGCCTGAACCTAAGGGGTGCTACCGAGATGTCGGCACCACTGTCCACCACAATGGCGGTCTGAGCTGCATCCGCACGGGCCGCCTTCACCATGAAAACTCCAGCTCCCCTGCTTCTCAGCTCTTCCTCGGCAGCCTCTGGGCTGTATGTCCACTCGTCGTCTCCATCTGAGCTGTCGAGGGAGTACCGCTCTGGGTCCCGGGCCACCTTCACCATCATAATGTTGAGGCCTTCCAGGCTGAAGTCGCCCGGGTCGCTGTCAAGCTCCGTCATGTCATAGATCACCGTGTCGTAGCCGCTGGGGGTCGTCCCCAACCGGGTGCCTAGGTCCTCAAACCTGACTGTGGAGACCTGGTTCACCGTCGAGGGGGTTCGGACAGCACTCGCGCTCGTTGAGGCGCTGCTCTGGTTGGAGTTCCAGCTGCCTCCAAGGTTGCTGGCCTCCTCCACTTGCCGAACTCCTCTGCCACCTTTGTTTGGGCATTGGACGCACAGGTGGCAAGTTCCAGGCTTTCCCTTTTCTCCACCTTTGCCGCCCTTTCCCCCTTTCGGCTGGTTGCCGTGGTCCTTCTGCTTCCAGCTGCTCCACTTCCACTGGTCACCCTGGCTGTTCCACTTCCATTGGTCAGCCTGGCCGCCCCACTTCCACTGGTCGGCCTGGCTGTTCCACTTGCCTTTGCCGCTGTCTTGCTTGCTGTCCTTGCCCTTGCCCTTCTTGCCCTTGTCGCCCTTCCCCTTGCCTTTGGGGTCCTTGCCCTTGTTGCCCTTGATGCGGTCGATATCCATGGGTGCCGGCCCGTGGTCCTGGGCCCTGCCGCCAGGTCGGGTAGGCAACGAGGAGGACCAAGGGGTATTGATGGCCTCGTAGTGCAGCACCCATTCCCTCAAATCAGAGTAGCGCGTGCTGCTTGTCATCCGCAGCTGCACCTGGCTTCGAAGAGGCTCCTTGAGACCGCTTGTGATCGTTGCGATCTGGAGGTCCTCAGGGTACGACTTGCCCGAGGAGCTCTCATAGCCCTTGACCGCGTCCTCATAGGCTATGATTTGCTCGTGGAGGTTTCCCTCCTTGAAAGTCCATGCCGCCAACTGGCGGACAATTGCCAAAGAGCGCGATCGCTCCTTCGGCTCCATCTCCCGGCGCAGCAAGCGAATGCACTCAAAGCCGTTTTTCTCCTTCTCCTGGGCCCGGACAACAAGCAAGGGCCTGTTTCGCAGCACATTGCAAAGCACACCAAAAAGCTTCTGCGACCTCGCCACAGCCGGCCCATCCAGCAAAGCGTGGTCAACGGCCACGTCCACATCAATGGCCTCCAGGTCGGTTTCATACTCCTCGTCGTGAGCAATCAGCCACGTACTCAGCTGAAAACTCCATTCACGCCACGTCTTCAATTCATCTTCTCGCGAGCTAGGCTTCCAGGCCTCGAGCTTCAAGGCCTTGGTGATGCCCTCCGCCTTGTTGGCCGTCGCCTGCTTCTCTGCAGCTTCGGCCGCCCGTTGGGTAGCAGTCAAAACCTTCCCGAACACAGACCCAAAAGCTTGCTCAAGCCTCTGGCGCACAACTGTGTCCACTTGCTCCTGCATCTGAGGGTTCAGGCCTCCAGCTACTTGGGCTCCATCTTGAGATCCTTGTGCCATTGCTCCACTTGCTCGGCCAAAGGGTAAATACTCTCCAGCCAGGTCCCTTGCCAGTCGCCACCAGCCAAGAAACCCACAATATTGTAACCACTGCGGCTCTCCAGGCCCACAAGCACTGATGTACCACTGAGGCCTTCCAAACCCACACGCACCGAGATTCCACTGAGGCGTCCCAAGCCCACACGCACTGAAATTCCACTGCAGCCTACCAAGCCCACAAGCACTGAGGTACAGCTGCGGCCTTCCACGCCCACAAGCGCTGAAAAACTCAAGTTCCGGATCTGCCTCGCCACCAGGAGGTCTTACGAAAAATCGAGATTGCGGGTGGGCAACCGCAGTTGCAGCCTCCCGTGTCTGCAGGCACAGTAAAGTGCAGCTGCAGAAGAAAAGAGCTCTTATCCGGTGAAACGTGTGGTACCCAAAGCCTCGGGGCTTAATGCTACAAAGGGCCTCTACGGAGTGCCTAAGGCAGCTCCGCTACCATGAAAGTCTTTTCCCTTAACTGCAAAGGGCTGTCGAACGCACGGAGTGAGTGAAGCAATGCTTACATATGCACACAAGCGGGGGCTCACACAGGTTTCA